CTTCCTATTAGCTAAATTTAAGGGAAGTAGCACAGGTTGACAGAAGAGATGACTCCTCTGCTTGGAATCTAACTAGATAGAGCATTTACTTTTATTAAAACGATTTATGAGTAAAACTGACAAAGAAAAAATAAGCCCATTCAACCTAACTCTTGGTTCTACTCATTAGAAATGTCCTCAAATATCCACCTCCTCTGTTTCTCATATCTGTATATAAAACTGAGGGTGGTGTCCCTAATTTTACTGGAAATCCTTTACTAACAGGGTTGACAGCCAGCGTCTCATTGGGGGGGGGGGGTCTTCTTCCTGCCCAGAAGGGTATAAGCCACATGAAAACTTAAAGTCTCAAATATTTAGTGAAGAACAAAACACAAATAGTTAGAAATATGTTTATAAAAAGCAGAGCCCCTGATAGATCTAGACCACATGGGTGTTGGAACTAGACAAAGAAAAGATGGCTAGGGTGGTTTATTTAAGGGGGGTACAAAAAAGGCAGGGAAATGGTTTTAAGGGTGGAGTCTTGCTTTGTGATGTTTTGCAGTCAGCAGGTTGATTAGCATCTTGGTAGGTCACACCCATCTCAGGTGCTGTGTGGGATCTTTGGCAGAGCTTGAGGCAGATGTTCACCTGCATCAAGCAATCTATCCCTATGAGGGTGCCCCAGAAGCTCCCAGTGCCAGAATTATCCTTTCACTAGGCTACCATACACAACACAGTCCACAGACAATCTACAGATGAGTCTCAACACTTTACTTCATATTTTTATGCTCTTTTATGTCCAATTAATTTCTCCTTTTTTTGCACTCATTGTGTGACTTATTTATGATTCTATTATAGAATACCCTAAGCATTTATATATGTCTGCCTTCTCCTCTAGACCTCCTTGAAAATAAAGACACAGTTCGCTCATCTTCTCCTCCTTTGTAGCATCTCTCAGTTGTATGAACCATGGAGCATTTTTACCAAAATACTAACACTTGTGTCATGTAATCGCTGATTAATAACTTCTTTTATTATAATTTGTTAAGCTACTAGAAGACAATATGGCTAAATAAAATTGTAGAAAACCATGATTATTATGTTGTTATTTATAATACAAGCATTAGGACAAGTGCTTAATATACTGAATTGTTGCAATTCTGTGTTAGAGTCTGTAAACAAGTCTGGATGGCGCCTGGCATTTTGCCAGAGGGAGTGGTTTGTGAAGTAATGCCAGCGAGCCATTAAGTGTGGAGATTTCTTATTGGTTGACTGCTGTATCTAGTTTATGTTAATTAAGATAAGCTGTGTGGAATGTATAAATACTACTCCTGTCCTACAATAAAAGGCTCCTACTCCTGCTGTATCAATCTACACAAGTTGTTCCTCACCTCCAGGTTATTTTGCTGCAGCCGGACTGTGGCAATTCTGAAGATGAAACTTGGAGTTAGATTCATCCCATCAACATGAACATGTTTATAAGTACTAAATTGAATTCAAATGTTATGCTGAAGTTGTAGTACTTTATTGAATGGCACTACAAATTAGATAAAAGAGTTAAGTTTAATATTTAGAAAAGAGTAATAGATCCCAAGAGAATTTTGTGCTTCCTAACCATATGATTCACCTGAAAATACCACCATCTACTTTTAGGGATCTCAAACACACATCAATTCTTTATTTAAGTTCTCGTGCCATGTCTAGAGTTGAAATAGAAGTCAATGAAAGATGTTGCTTTTTATCTCTTTGGAAATTAAGAAAGTATCTGATTTATATTTTGAAATATATGTTTCAAAGCAAGAGAAAACACAAAGCTTTCAACAAAAACAATATACTAAAAATAATCTATGTAATCTCCCAGGAATCTACATTGTTATAGAAGGAATACATTATGTATTTGTCAGAATCATAATGTAAGAAAACTACATTTTTAAAACAACTAATAAAAGCATATTAACATAGTCTTTTCTTTACAGATAAAATGCTATTAAATGCATACATCTGCTCATGCACACACAATTTCACATAGTTTCCTCATGAAATTTTAAAACTTTTTTTGACATTGCAATTTTACAGGGGGAAAGTGATCCTCAGAATCAGGATGAATAAAAGACACTCCACTAATAATGTTTGTCCTGTAGGAAAATATACATACACATCAGAATTCATTCATTAATTAGAAAATGCAACATGTAAAAGCATGTGAGAGAAAAATAATTAAAATTCTCACTGTTAATATTCCAACACAGTGTCTGATTATTACTGAATAAAATAGTTAAATTTACCACAAAACAGAAAACCACTTTTTTTTGGTCACATAAAATCCAAATGCCTAGTAATTTGTAAGTTCCTTAAGATTAGTGGAGTCTTGTATCTTCTAAATTTCTCCTGGGATCAAAGATCATGACACCCAAATATGCTCTGGAAGACTCTTACCTAGTTGATGTTTTATGTTTTAATTAAGAATCAAAGTAATTTAGAAACTGAAACCAAGGTTCAAATGAGTAATGCTCACTTATCTTGTATCTAGTATTATAACCTATTATAACCTAATCTCTATTTTTACAGAAGACAGAAAAAAATGACAAATAATTTTGAAATAAAGCAAGTTTTTAAAAAGTGGCCTAATAAAAGTGATTATAAGTCCTAAAGCATTCTTGCTAAAGTTCTAAGAGATAATAGGAAACTATTTCATCAAATGAACCCCATTTTGAAGCTCACCTCTAAGAGGTAACATCAAAAATCAATTTAATTTTGGAATGAATATTAAACCTTTAATATAAAAGTCTACGTGTCTACTCGTGGTATACCTGAACAATAGTGTTAGATCCAAAAATATCTTCAAGTATCAAACCTTATAAAGAAGCTTTAACAGGACAATTTGAAAGATATTTCTTTCAGCAAGAATTTTATTTCCAATAAAGCTAAGCTTATAATGTTGTTGCTTGTCTCATCCGTATCTTTCCTAATTTTGGCTCTGATTAATCTATCAATGATTATAAAAATTGTGTTGGAATCTCCTTCCTTGAGAATGAATGTCAATTTCATCTTGTAATTCTTTCAATTTTACTGTATATATTTTCAGAGGCTTTTAGGTTCTTGCAAGTTTAGAATTGTTATTATAATCTTAGTAAATCAAGCCCTTTATACCAAGTGACTGTGTAGGTAACAGTGCTTTTTAAGGTAAAGTATATTTTATTCTCACATTAATGTAATTAACCAAGCTTTCTTTTTTCTTTTTTTTTAGAGTTGTCAAGATTTATTTTTTGTCATTAAAGAATTAAACAATAACCAATACCACCCATTAACTAACAAAAAATAATCTCAGATTATGTTCCCTAAAATAGAAAGAACATAATCTCAGATTAAAAGGAAAAGTGCTTTAATTGCAAATATTTAGCTTTATAAAAAAATGTACCATATTACCTTTTCTTTTCTCCTTCCTTCCCCTCCTCCTCCTCCTCCTTCTCTTTCTTCTTCTTCTTCTTCTTCTTCTTCTTCTTCTTCTTCTTCTTCTTCTCCTTCTCCTTCTCCTTCTCCTTCTCCTTCTCCTTCTCCTTCTCCTTCT